CCCCGACGCGGGGCTCGAACTCATGGACCGCGAGATCGTGACCTGGCTGAAGTCGGATGCCTAACCGACTGCGCCACCCAGGGGCCCCCTTTTTTTTTTTTCTTAATCAGAGGTACTTTTGTCTTTTTTTAAATTGTGGTAAAATATCCATCACATAAAGTTTAGCATTTTAGCCACGGTTAAGTGCACAGTTCAGTGGCCTGAAATGCTTTCACAGTGTTGTGCGACCCTCTCCACCGTGAATCTCCAGCACTTTCTCATCGCCCCAAACTGAAGCTCTGAGCCCATTGGACAGTAAGTCCCCATCGCCCCCTCCCCTCTCCCCTGTAACCTCGGACCTACCTTCTGTCTCTAGGAACTTGACTCCTCTGGGGACCTCGCCTAGTGGGATCGTACCGTAGCTGTCATCCTGGCTTGTTTCACTGAGTACAATGTCCTTGAGGTCTATCCGTGTCGTAGCAGGGGTCAGAACATCCTTCTTTCCTTCCTAAGGCTGAATCACACTCCATCGCGTGGATGGACCACATTTGTTTCTCTGCCGATGGACCCTTGAGTGGCTTTCACCTTTTGGTGACAGTGAGTGACATTGCCATGCAGACGTTATGACCTTGGGCGTACAAACATGTGTTCGGAGATGCTGCCTTCGGTTCTTTCGGGTGTATACCCAGAAGGAGAATTGTCAGATCTGCGGTAATCCTCTGTGCATTAGAAACACAGACTTCAGGGGCGCCTGGGTGGCTCAGTCAGTTAAGCGCTGACCTCGGCTCAGGTCATGATCTCATGTTTGTGAGTTCGAGTTCGAGCCCCGTGTCGGGCGCTGTGCTGACAGCTCGGAGCCTGCTTCGGATTCTGTGTCTCCCTCTCTCTCTGCCCCTCCTCCACTCATGCTCTCCCTCGCTCTCAAAAATCAGTAAACATTAAAAAATTTAAAAAAGAAGAAACACAGACTTTAATGGGAAGGGGAGGGGGTCCCAGGGTAGGGGCAGGGAGTCGGTGAAGTGCACATCACCCAGTCTGGAAGCTTCCTGGGGCCTATGTGTGGGAGTGGGCTCATCAAGTAAAGAAGCCCGCACACCCCTCACCTCCAGGCATGGGGTGGTGAGCCTCACCCTGAAGAGTATGGGCCGTAGCCGAGGCCCACGTCGGTCCCACAGCCGGGACTGGTCGCAAGAGCCACGTGGGACCCTGGAGCCTCCCTGCTCGCCCAGTTCCGTTACTTCTGCTGTGCTTTGCGGTTAGCGCACCGGGGCCTTTGGCCTGGGGCTGTGTGTGCGTCGTCAGGGACAGACTGGACACAGGGGCTGGGAGGCCTTTTCTGGTCTCAGGCCCCTCTTGGGGCCAGAAAAGATAAGGCAGCAAGCGGAGGCCTGATGGCTCCTGAGGTTTAACGGTTGTAAGACCCAGGCACCGTCTCCAGACGGGGTTAAACATCCTCTTCTAAAGCATCACTCACCTGGTGGGATCTCAGCACTGGGGCAGGCTGTTGGGTAAACATTTTGGAGCAGATGGCAGGGATTAAAAGAACAGTCTGCCATGGGGGCCCCCCGGCACCTGCTGAACCGCGTACGAGTAGGGTGCTCCCAGCTCACCGGGCGTCTCAGAGACGAAGTGGTTATGTCCTTCCGTCCTGGCCCGGGACCCACGTAGCTGCACTTGGCAGTCATGCCTCGAGGGTGCCCTGGGAATGTCCCTGGGTCAGCATCGTGGAAATACAAAAGCAGGAGCAGACGAGTGCCCGAGTGTGTCCCACTTCCCCCGAACGCATGGGGCTTGTCAACGGACGGTTCCCAGCGAGGGTCAGGATCTCCAAGAACACCGTCTAGTAGAAGTCTGTAATGAAAGCCACACACAGAAATTCAAATGTCCTAATAGCTACTTTACGGTAAGAGTAATGCAAAAGTCAAAGGAAACAGGTGAAATTCCTTTTAATAATACATTTGACTTATCTCATGCGGCCATAATTTGAACATCTCAATGTGTAATCAACATAAAAATGATTGAGCTATTTTACATTCTTTTTTTTTTTGGCATGGAGTATTTGAAATCTGGGTATCCTTTATTCGTGGCCAGCTCAGTTCAGACTCGCCACATTTCAGTACTTACCCGGCAGGGGAGATACCAAGATGCAGCCAGCCACGTTTCAGGGGCTCGAGAGTCACACGTGGCTTGTGGCACCGCTGTGGTTACTGCAGCTCTAGAAGCCCCGCGGATAACTGTAACGGTGAGCGCTTACGGCACGACTGCGTGACGCGTGTTCCGTCACCCGATCCTCACACGCTCCGAGGTGGTTGCCGGCTGCTGAGGGACGCAGGTGTGTGTTCGGTTTGCGGACTCGCCTTCCATCTTCAAAGAGCCCGTGGCGTGGCCTCTGCCGCCTCTGATCCCGCTTCCCTCTGCTTCCATCATCACTTGGCCTTCTTTGATTCTGATCTCTGCGGAGTCCCCTTTAGGAGGACCCTGCGGTGACATCAGGCCCGTCCGGGCCGGCCGGGGTCATCCTCCCCCTTGCAAGATCCTTCAACGAATCACATCGGCAAAGCCTTTTTGTCATATAACGTAGCATCTGTAGGTTCTGGGCTCAGGGGGTGGATGTCTGGAGGGGATATTATGCAGCCTGCGTGGGGGGAGGGGGACTCTGTCTTCACAATCACGGCAGGATGCCGCCGGGCCGAGGCCACAGACTTCCTACTTCCACTTGTCATCATCTGTGTAGCCGGAGCGCCCTGCTCCAGCAAGGGCCCCCCCGGCCTTTGCTCCAGCAGATCTGAAGCACCAGCCGCCACTGGGGGGGGGGGGGGGGGGGGAGGGAAGTGTGGCAGCTCCTGCCCCTCCCCCCGCCCTGGTGGTTTGCTGGGTGAGGGACTCTGCTGGGATTTATGCCTGTCCTTCCCGCAAGGGAGCTGGAAATTCGTGAGGAGTCCTTATTTCCTGGTTTTTCTTCTCATTTTGGGGGAGAAGAGGGAGGAGGCTGGCCAGCATCATTGACTAGAAGGGGCACCTCTGACCTCCTAGAAGGGGCCTCAAACGTCATCTAACCTGCCACCCCAGCCCTGCCCGGCCACCACCCAGCCCCACTGTGTCCTAGCCAACACTGACCTCCAACCAAGCTTGACCTCTCAAGCAAGTGATTTGCTTTCTAACAAAGATCTTTCCAATGAACCCACTGAAGTCCTTGGTAGCCAGTAATAGAAACCGACTTGGATTAACTTATGCAAAAAAAAAAGGTGGCCAGGAAACCTCTCCTTGGGGAGATCGGATGTCTTGCTTTTCCTGACAACTTGGGGGTTCCTTCCCTAGGAAAGGGAAACTGTGTGCCTCTGACTCCGAGGGCACAGGCACTCCTCAAACACCCACCTGCTATAGTTGCCCGACCCCACAGGAGGGTTGGAGTCACAGACCTGAGGTAGCAGCAGCGAGGCAGGTGCTGGGCCGGAGAATGAGTCCCAACGACGGGAGCCTGGTCGGGGTGCCTAATGACTGAGCAAGACGGGGCGGCAGGCAGACCTTTAGTGTTGTTATGCAGTGCGTGTGTCTCGGGTGGGAGGGGTGCTGGGAACGGAGGAGATTGTCCCCGGAAGAAGGAATCACAGGCTCTTCCCAGAAGCGCGCCTGGAATGATCATTCTAGTGGGTGGCTAGGGGTCGGTGCTCCGCGACAGAAACGGAAGGAACCGCAGACGTGTTGCTGATTATGGCCCCGCCTCCCCTGACCTTGGTCTTGCTCCCAGGGTCCCAATCTTCTCTCCCACCCTTATTTCCACTAACCCCCCCCCCCCCCCCCACCTGTCCCACGCTCCACCCAGACCCGGCCCCCGGTGTTTCCCAAAGCATCCTGGGATCTCCCATCTGTTTGTACCGGTGCCTTCACACGCAACCTGTTTATCTCACTCCGGGCTGCCTCCAGATCCCTTCCCGCCGCGCCCCTCCCCGAGCCCTCCAGCTCCGTGGGCTGCCCCCCCCCCCCCCTTTCAACTCTCCTGTTACTCTGCTTTGTGTGTCTGTGTGTTTGGTGCTGCCTGGGAACGAGGCCTGCCGTATGCCTTCTCGTCCCCATTTCCCCCCAGCACAGTGCCTCACTTGTGGCAGAATCAAATAGATCTTTGTTGAGTTGAACTGAAGTGGAAAGATGGCCTACGCTGTTTCCTCCGCGTCATTCACGGCAAAGAGTCCCACGAGGGTCTCTTCCGGTCAAGAAGGTAGCTTTTGGCTACCGTCTCCTGACTCTCCACTCCTGCCCTTGGAGGCTCAGACTGATTTAAAGCGCTTGGCCTTAAATGCCAAAGCACATTTGCCGAGGTGAGCTCCCGGCTCCGTCTGACCCGTTTACCCGGCACTTTGCCTGCACGTTTACAAACCTATTAGGACAGTTGCCAGGCAGAGACATGGTGTGGCTTCCTCTCATCTTCCCAGCACGGTTTGCATATTAAAAGAAGAACTTGGGGAAGATAGTGACCAGGAAGAAATCACTGGAATTTCTCGTGTACTGGAGACGGGCCCCAGAGAGATGGGATGCGAGGGGCTTCTCGGAAAGAACCCAGGCAGCTTCAGCTGTATGTAGCCTTCCGTGCCCCCTGCTCTGTAATCAATACGACCACCTCTCCCTACTTCTCCCTTCCCGTCCCGTTTCTGCAAGGTCTCCTCTACGTAGGGGTGCTCCTACGTAGCAACTGAACTTGCCCAACCAGAAGTTAAAGGGAAATAAAGCGGGCGACATCACGAGAGCCGGGTAACTACCCCCGAGGCGCAGACCTGGTGTCCCGTGCGGAGATTCGCTTTTCCCACAAAGTTGGCATCAGACTCGAGCTCGCCTTTATAAAGTGCCCCGGCCCGAGCCCGGGGCTTCTTAGAGGACAAGGAGGCCGGCCGAGAGGCCAGACGGTGGGGAGGGGTACCCCCGGGCTGGCTGCACAGAGATCCTGAAACCAGCACGGCCGGAGGCTGGGCGGAAAGGCTCCTGGCAAGCTTATGAGGAGCTATGGTCAGGTGGGGCACTTACCAGATCTTTCCATGAAGAGAAAGTCAGGGGCTCGCTGACCCTCCACACCTGTGACTTCTCTGTCCGCCCGGAAGTGGTCAGCAGCCAGTCTTGTCCCGACACCCGTCCCGGCTGTGGATCCCTGTGATGGACAGCCTACCGGGTCCCTTAGTTCACATCCCTGCTGTTTACAAATGTCTGTCCGATGGGACCGTTGTCTGGCTGAGGTGGGCACAGCCCTTGTCTCTAGATCAGTTGGAGGGGTGGCCCCACCTTCCAGAGCTCAGGCTTCGGCGCCCATCCGCACAGTGGCATATCCCACATCTGGAGGCCAGGGCGGCCCCGGGGGCTCTTCCCGCCTGCTCCTCCCTCTCATCCCGGTGCCTAGTGACAGACATCTGGGTCTGCGTCCGCCCTGCCCTTTCTCAGCCGTGACCCCCGACGCACCCAGGCCTCCCCGCCAGCTGAAGCCCAGGCCTGCCAGGGACATCCTACAGGGACACTGAATCCGAGAATGCGATGCCAAAACCGACTTCTGGCAGAAGATCCTTCTTTTTGTCTCTGAGTAAAGAGCACACCTGCTAACCTCACCTCTTCCACTACCACCTGCGACACGGTGGGGAACACCAAGGGTGTGGCTCAGGCCTCCCGCCTGGGCGTTGGCCCCCTGGACTCTGGCTCCCGGGGTCCGCTCCCACGTCCTCTGCTGCTCCCCTGCCCAGGACCTTCTGGGCAAGGAGCCCGTCCCTGCAGGGGGCTGGGGGGCCGTCTTCAAGTACGAGG